GATTGAGGCGTTGAGAACTAGTCTTATGGGATGGTTCGCTAGGCACCGTGTAGCAGCAGCGACTGAAAAGTACGAAGTGCCTCCTAAAGTGCGAGAGAAAATGGAGACCAATTTCTTTTTCTCAACATCCATGACTGTTCAAGCCGCTAATAATGATGAATTTCAAGTCCAAACCAGGAAAGGGGAAATATTCATCGTGGACCTCGAGAGGAAAACGTGTAGCTGTCGGGAGTTTCAGTTGATGCTCATTCCTTGCAGTCACGCATTGGCAGTTGCCGCAGATGTAGATGTGTCTACTGAGAAGCTTGTTAGGGATGTGTATTCCACTAGTGTCTGGCGGGCTGCATATGAGAGGACAATTCATCCCGTTCCCACAGGGGATGATACACTGAACGTAGATGATAGGTATGAGTTAAACTCTCCTGTGATACGCCGTCCACCAAGTCCTAAGAAATTGAGAATCTTGTCAACCGGCGAATTCAAGGTATTGTTGGATTTTGTTTGTTTGAATAGTCAGCTATAATTGGTAAATAGTCAGCTATAATTATTAATAGTCAGTTATAATTAGTAATAGTCAACTATGATAATTAGTAATAGTCAGCTATAATTATTAAATATAATGTTTGTGATATGTTAGTGAACTAAAATACTTATGATATATTGTTTGAATAGTCAACTATGTTTATAAGATATAAATGTAAATGGCTAACTGATTTTGTTGTTGTTATAATGTTAAAAATGTTAATTCAGCGAAACTCGAGGAAAGGAGCACGGTTGTGCACAAGGTGCCTTTGCAGAGGACACAACAAGGCTTCATGCAAAATGCCTATTAGAGAGCTGGGGTTGAGACTCTAAAATGAGGATTTATTGGTAATGAGGTTGCAAGAAAGACTACTTTTCTATTTATTTTTGTTTTAGGACAGAGTAATAAAAGTTTCAAGTAATGTACTTGAATGTGAGATGATTGTTTTGTTTCTAGTTTATAGTATACGCTTTGAAAGCGTGAATATGAACTACATATGCTTCTATTTTGATCAGTTTGATTGGTTCCCATTTTATGAATTTGAGGAATTTTGTTGGTGTTGAAGTCATTTTTTCATTTTGGAGGTTTTTCATTTTATACAGTATGGTTAAGTAGCTGAGTAGTGTATAGTGCGTTATCCCTAAAAATAAGAATATCTTTAGTCAACTATTCGAACTATTCTAATTTAGATAGTTAACTATGCTGGCTAGAATAGATAACTGTTGGAACTAAGATTTTGTTTTCTATCGACTTATGTACGAACTAAACTTTGTAAATATAATAGTTGGCTCCGTAGAACACTTTTGACGTTTGTATGCTAATTTATCATAGAGAAACATGTATCTTGAACTCCATTTTGTCTCCAACTTTTTCGTCGATGGATGTTGGTACAAAGGCTGAAATGAACTAGCGTGATAGTTGTATTTTGTAGTACTCAAAAAATTATTCATTGAATTTCAGAGACTGTTTTTGTCATGGTTGAAGATGAAATACTGCTTTTTCATCCTTAATTAAATGATTTTCAGACATCGGTATATATTGTCAAAGCCAAAAAAAGATAAATGAATTTCAGAAAGAAAATGTCAATAACCAAAAAGAGTAGATGTTGTCAATGCAAATAAGCCTTAAAACTGAAAATTTCGCAAACTAAACATCGTGTAGCATATGTTTACGAACTGTAATCCTCAAAATGATCTTGTAAAAAGTAGAAACGTTTAAAGGCACTAGTACCTAAGCATCATAACCAATACGTAAAGGCAAAGGGGAATTAAATTTCTGGAAAATCTAAACGCCATAGTTCTTCCCAACATCTATGACACTTGCTTCGTCGAGGTTAGGCAAAAAATTAAGGGTAGTCGATGCATGTAGCTCAAAAAGCAACATAGCCGTGATGCCATGTGAACCTGCGTTAGATGTGAAATAGTTAGCTATTTACGAGCACTCTTTTGAATATAATTAGCTATTTACAAGCGTTTTGTCAAATATAATTAGCTTTATAGAAACGATGTGTTGAGTATAAAGCTTTTGTACCTTTGCGTTTGATTTTCCATTCACCCGCATAGCTGGTGATAGTGAACGGTTTAGTCATGTCTGCGTCCATTTCAGAATTGGTAGCACATTTGGTTATGACAAATGGTAACGACTCAGCAAGAGGTTGTAGCTCCTTCGTAAGTTCATTGAAGGCGTATTTTGTAGGGTCTGGTTGTAGTACGGTAATCTCATGGGAAGATAGGTCAATGCAAAGGCCGATCCAGTGGCCATGAATCATATATGGGCAGTAGAGACGCTCGACATCCGTGAACCATTGGCGGTCCTTGCCAACATATTTTGAAACATTGTTAGGAATCTTGTAGCTTTTCTTCTTAGCGTTTGGGTACGTTTTGGAGACAGCCACAGCAAATTCAACCTCCATAAAATCAATAGGCTTAGTAACTCCTTTAAAATCCTCCAAGAATCGGTCCCGAAGAAAGAAGATGAGATTATTCATTACCTGTGATTCAAATGGTAAACCCAAAAATAACAAAAATCTTTATTTCCAGCAATTTGATTTTTAATGGACAAATGTAGAGGGAAGAAAGTTGACATACATTGACTGAAGCTGCTCTGAAGAAGGTGACCAGCGATCACTCTGTGTTAGCGAAAGATGTTACATCATCTATCCAACCAGATAATTCTCGATCAGAAGTAAGCAATTGACATATAGTTAATTTTGCATCAAGTCCGCCAGACCAAGAAGCGTTTGTGAAGTTATGATTTTTCTCGAGAAGATCTATCATATAGTTAACTTTGCCATCCTCCTGATCTTTAGACCATGTTAAGTCTTGTCCATGTAGGTTTTCCGTAGGTAGAGTATATGTCACTTTAACCTGAAACAAAAACACATTTGATTGAATTCTTTACTCAACTACTTTTGCCAGAAACTCAACTATTAATACACTGCAGTTGACTACTAAAGACGGTTACTCTTCTAATAGTTAACTATCCAATGACCATAACAGAAAAGAAATGGAAATGTTACCGTTTGGTCTGCATCGAGGTCTTTAACTAATCGCATACCGATGCTTAGTGGTTTCTCTATTTCTTCATTATCATATTCATCTTCAGAAGCGACAATTTCCTTTCTCTTCGTGTTCTTCTCAGATGTTGCAAATGAGGTTATCTGAGGTATACAACTCAATGCAACAAGCTGCAAACCATGAATGAACCCTTGAATTGCCATCGATTGTTGACACATAGCAGCTGCGGTTTTAGTCTG